ATCGGAATGACAGCATGCCTACAGGATATTCTAAATATTTTTTTATACAAATAAGAGTATTTAAATACTCTGATAATCCCCATCAACTTTAACCACCCCAAGGGAGGACAGCAGGTTGAGGCAAAACTCGCCATAGTGACAAGAGAAAGGATAGTTCAACTTGCAGTGATGCTATCAATCTTGCCTTCATAAACCCCACAATGTTGCATGACAGAGGTACGTAGCACAAGCTTCACATCACAAAAAAATAAGCACAGCTCACAGTGGATGTGCTCAAATTCGGCAAGTCTCCGCAAAGAAGGTGGGAAGGATAAGGTCATAAAAGCTGGTCTGGTTTTTTACTTTTTAAAATGAATATAAAGTAGAAAAACTTTTTACGAAAGATAAAACCTAAAATTGGGTGAAGATAAGGCACAAAAAGTGTTTTATATTATTATATAAAATACATGGAACTAATGGAGGTCGTGAGTCCTGGAAAATAAAACCTGACCATGATTGAAATAGTACGCAACCGGTAAAATAATAAATACAAAAACAAAAAAAAATGGGAGAAGGGGCTCTGTAATTGTAAGCCAAGCACTGCTGGAAAAAAGCAGTGTGACTGAAGATCTACAAAGACTTATACAACTGTGATTCGTGTGAAAGTGAGAGATTGCGCATTTTTTCCACCAATGTAATGAAAAAAATAGCCTATCTAAACTTTCATATTTGTTACAATGATTTAATAAGAAACAAATCAAATTACTTAATATACAATATAATGGAATCAAGATTAATCATTTACTGTAGCAACATATATAGGATATTCTAATGCTAATGAAATAATATCTAAATATTATAACAATAATGAACAGAATGAGTCCTTCAGAATATAAGAACTTTTTTTAAGTAATGGACCGGTGATTAAAGTCATAGCTGTCCATCACGGATAGTGGTAAACAGTGGTTGAGCCCTAAACGCTATGGCGGAATGATTGCTAGTTGAAAACTTAAAAATATTCATATAAAAATTAATATATATTCAAAATTACAACTAAAATACATAGAAAAATTTTTAAATTAATTTCATTATTATCATTCCAATTAATACGAAAAATGTATGCTAAACATAACGTCAAAATATATGGACAAAATATTAAATCATAAATAGTTATATAAGAATAATTGGGTCAGTTCTATTTGATAAATAGACAACCAAACTTAAAATCTAGTAAATAAGACTTTTCGTGGGCTTCTAACCTGGACTTTACTATTCCCTAATTTTTTTCTATCCAAAATATCAAATCAAACTCTTATTTTTGATTTGTTAAATTATACTGAAAATTAATTTTATATTCAAAATATCACGTACGTTTATTTATATTATATCGTATTATTCCAATTCAAAACTTTCCTATTTGAAACCCCAAACCCAACTCCAAAACCCACCAATAGACACACACTAAGTTTCTTTTCCTTTTTAGTCTCCCAACTGTTCCTCATTATAAATAATAGTTATATATCCACTCCAACCCATTCCGTACAGCCCCTCTACAACAAGTGGCTATTGCCACAAGAGCATAAGTGCACCACAATGGAGCAGCAGTACCAGCGGACAGCCGCTTCACTCCATGGCAGCACAATAGCATCACTATCACCTGCTATTGACCACTAGGTTTAAAGTAATTTGGAAACCCCAAGTTCAAAATACAAAAAGGAATCTCAGAATATCCAGGAACCAGGAAAAGCAAAGATCACATATTGTTCCAGCATATACATGCTATAAAGGTGTTGACAGGAAAAACAAGAACAAGAGCACATACAAGTAAATTACCTTATTTTCACACATCTCTTTAAGAAGTTCTATTCTTTTGAAGAATGGGTGGTGATGGGGGTGTGTGCAGGGGGCGGGGACATGTTCATTGAACTTTTACTGTTGTACAAGAATTCAATTACCTGAATGGTAGATGTGTTTTTCAATTTCTTTCTTTTGTTGTCTGGAATTGATCCAAGGATCCAGAACTTCATTTATGGCAGCAGCAAACTCCCGACTCTTGTAAGACTTCATCACCAATTCATGAAGCTTCCCCCGAGTATATCCAACAACCTGTGGGTGTAAATTGTGCAAAGTAGTGGAAGTTCTCTGGCTTTCTCTCAATCCACTACCACATGCTTCGGTTAAATTGTTATCATGCTCGGATATTCCACTACGGTCAGAGAGAACACTAAGCGGAACCCATATATTATCTTGTTTCCTGAAAACACTGGTGTTCTTTAGAATGATACCATGATCAGCCATTATTTGCAACTCTGAAAAGGATTGGGGCCCACGTTCATGGCCAGTACCATCAAGGAAATACCAATCTCCCAAATGCAATTTTAACTCATCTACTTTGCAAAGATGGTCCTTAGGTATATCAAGTGATGCATCCTTCTTCCTCAAATTCTGTGAATCCCGTTCATGAGCAATTTCCCGATTACCATCTCTTGAGGACCATCTTGTATCCCCAGTTGTAGAATACACCCGTACAGACCTTGAAGACAATCTTTCTTTTCCTCGAACTTTTGTACGAGCTTCAGACACGAATGAACCATGGTCCTTTACCACACATGCATTTATCCTAACCACTGATAGCATAGCTCCTCTAATTCCCCTTGCAAGACCAGATTTAGCTTGGGCTGCACGGCTCACACTAGAGGAATCATTTAACTCATCAGGAGACGTAAAAGCCCACAGTGGCAGGTCAAGCCTCCTGCTCTGCGAAGGAAAGTACAATTCGTCCTTTTCCTCCCACCTGGGGTCTTCACAACCAGACTTGGGCATCTGACACAGTGGATAGCCATCATTGAGAACCAGCTTCCTCTTCCAAGTCCTATCCTGAGTAGCATCATCATTCCTCTTCCAGTCACATCCCTTACAAGCCCATAGACTAGAATACATTTCACCAATCTCGCTACAAATGAGTGCATTATCCTTCTCAAGGGAGGCAGGCACTGTGGCCCTTTTTTCTGCAGTCTCAGTAAATTCAGAAACAGTGGACCATTCCTTAGCACCTGTATCTTCAAAATGCTTGTCCATGTTCTCCTCACACCTCATATGACCTGCTAAAACCTCAAAACAGTAAGCATCATATTTAAATGTAGCAAACTTAGTATACATATCTTAGCTGCAAAGACTGCACAATAGCCACAATAAACTCAAATTATAAGGAACACACCTAAGAAAACCTCAAAACAGTAAGCATCATATTTAAATGTAGCTAACTTAGTATACATATCTTAGCTGCAAAGACTGCACAATAGCCACAATAAACTCAAATTATAAGGAACACACCTAAGAAATTGATATGCTCTTCCATAAGAGAGATCACTAACTCAATATTAGTACAACAGTGCTGGCCAATAAGTTCAGATATGGTCAATGATGTTGAAGTTCTATACCAAAATCATCATAGAAAATAGGTTCCAATTTAACACAACCGGAAGGCATAACCAAATGACACTTTATGCAAATAATTCATTGATTGGCTGCAGAATGTTACATATCTGGGGTGTCCCACTACTCTCATCACTTCTCCATCTCAAGATTTTTCTGTTCTCCGTTCAATACTTCTGAGAAAATTTTAGTATGCCATATAAAATACCTATAGCTTGAACAGGTCAGAAACACACACTAAGACAAAATACCTCACTATATTTGCAAGATCCACACAATTAGCAATTCCTTCATCATATTTGCAGTGTAAATAACAAACAGACAGAAAACATGAACATTCAAAATGTTAGGGTCAGAAGAAGATTATCAAGCCAGACTTCATGAAAGGAGTTCCAATGATAGGAAGTAACACTTAATCTAGTTTACGTTGTTGTACAACTATTAAGCATTGTCCTTGTTAATGAGAAATAACAACTAGAATATGTCATGTAAATTAAGGTACCTCCAATTTTTCCCCATGGCTCCAATTCCCCTTGCTCAACTCTCAGTTGCAGCACCTCTGCAAGATAAGCATACAGAATAGCATAAATTAAATATATACAGAAAAGGAAAACTTTAAATAAATGAATTGTAAAGTGTGAATTGTGAATTGTAAATTGTTGGAAAAACAAAAGTTTATTTGTATACATTATCTCCATGTATTCAATATGAAGTTGATAGGTTCAATCCATGAGACATTTGATTCTTGAATGCTTGGGATTTGCAATGTGCTAAGACAAAATCAACAACGGTCGCAATATTTTCATTTATGCATTAGCTTGTTGTGTATGTTGAACAGTTTGAGAATGAATCATGGATAATATCAAAATAGGGGTGGATTGTTATTTTTTTGTTATTGGATTCATTGGAAAATAAGGAATATTGTATTTAGCTATTTTCGGGAAGGGTTGCATGGCATGCACGCTCGAGGATACCTATATAATATTAAACGATGTGTGAAATAACAAAAAAAAAAAAAAAAAAAAAGTGAAATAAGGCATTAGTTGAATTGCGAATGGGACAATGAATTTGTCATGACCATGACTAAGTTGTGGAGAATTTACTGCAAATCTCTACTCTGCGAAATAAAAAAATGTTACTCTCTTTCTTCATGGTCTTGTACGGTAACATGACCGTCCGGAAAAATTACATATTTTTTGAGAAAATATAGAATTTGACTTTTGATTTTTATTTGAAAATTATATGTTTAAAAATTATATTTTTAAATTAAGAATTAAATTTGTTATGTATATAAAACCTTCTAAATTCAAAATTATTTAAATTTGAATTAACAATTTAAATTAAGAGATTTTACCTGTTTTATTTAAAAATCTGAGTTGAAGCTTTCAATGGCACGATATATTTTCTTCCTAATTGTAAAAACATCTTCGTCATATACAAATATTTTCTCAATCTTTTATTTGTTCGAGTTTTCACTTAAATTTAGTGTTATTTTATTTTATCCTCCTATGAATTTTGTGTAACGGGAGGCATGAATAAAGTCGAAATATTGTATAAGAAAAGTGATTTTATGGACATGTGTTTAGTGCTTTGACAAGTACTTGAGAGAAGACTTGAAGATGACGGCGGTGGCTGCAGGGCATCCTGAATGGGGGGAGCTGCCGGACGATGCAGGAACGTACAACGACACGCCTGAAAAAACCGGCTTCTTCAGGGCGACATACCAGACAGAAAAGGGTAGGTTCTTCCTGGAATGGTATTCAAGCAAGTTGATAGAGCATGGGGACCAGGTGCTTGAGTTAGCCAACAATGCATTCACAGGATGCAGAGTCAGGTTATCTGCTAAAGTATGTATGTAAGCGAGCAAGCTGTAAGTACAGATTGATTGGTTGATGAATTGGATTGGTTACTTACTTAGATACATCATACAGGTATCGGGGATCCACTGGTGGTACAATGATGAGAGCCATGCTGGCGAGTTAACAGCAGGATACTACAACCTGAGCAGCAAGAACAAGAGTAGGGACGGATACCGCCCCATTGCCAGGATGTTATCCCGACATTTTGCTACTCTAAACTTCACTTGTCTCGAGATGAGAAACACCGACCAGCCGGCCCAGGCTAAATCTGCACCCGAGCAACTTGTGCAACAGGTTACCTCACCTCACCTCTGATTATATATTTGTATATGGTATGTACGTATCAATAATTAATTGTTCAAGCAATCAAATGAATCAATCCTAGTATCATATACATGTTATATGTATATATCAAATCAGGTTTTGAGTGGGGCGTGGACAGAAAAGATCGGCGTGGCAGGTGAGAACGCACTCCCAAGTTACAGTCGGGCAGCCTATAACCAAATGCTGCTGAATGTGAGGCCCATAGGGGTGGTGCTGGACAAGGACAATGGCAAGGATGGCATTACTGCTAGTAGTAGTAGTCATTATCATCATCATCATCAGATGGATGGCGTGACGTACCTTCGGCTGTCCCATGACTTGCTCAAGCCCCATAATTACAGAATCTTCAGGCTATTTGTCAAGAAAATGCACGCCGATCTGGTGCGTGGGGCTATTCATTCTTCCTTCTTGTTTAGTTAATTAATAGTAGCAACCCCAACCCAAGGATTGATGGATGGATGGATGGATTGATTGCTTGCTTGCAGGATTACTGTCGGGAAGTGACAGATTACGAGCCATTGCAGAGGTCCAAGTCTAAGATTCCAATGGATGAGCTATTGCTGGAAGCAACAAAGCCCATCCAGCCATTCCCATGGAACCCCGAATTGGAAACGGACATGAGCCTTGGAAATGGAGACCTCCTGGATACCCTCGTTCAAATCATACCTTTTCTTTCTATGTTGCTACCTAGCTAGCTAATTATCATCAACTTGCTGCTGCTGCTGCGGCTGTGGCTGATAATGATACATACATACATACATAATCATATCATATGTCTATTGCAGGCAGCAGCTTTCAAGGCAGTGACCATACATTTAAAAATGAATTAATAATATACAGACACGAAGGTATTCATTCATTCCTGTACATTCAATTACCCAGAGAACATGAGCTGCGGGAGAGGAGGAAGTAGTCACACTTGCTCTCAATCTCAATCACAGTCTCACTCCCGCCTGCAATTGATCATTTTTTTTTTGGTCATATTGAGTGTGTGTGTGTGTGTGTGTGCGCTCGCGTGAGAGAGAGAGAGAGAGAGAGAGAGAGAGAGTAGTTCAAAGATTTAATTCACCTATCTATCTTAATTCTGGCATTTTTCCACATATATATATATAGGGGAGAAAAGGGGGCCACTACACACTATATATAAGCCAAGAATGAATACAGATAGATGATGAGATAAACACATAATCTAAAAAAGAATGACAAAAAGACTGACAAACAAATGTAACTAACTGTACACAAGAATAACAGAGCAAACAAAAGATTACAGATTTTTACTGGCTCCTCTCCTCTCGTCTCCTTTCCTTGAATGAGCTGCAACCCCAACAGCCACCATCTATAACATCATCATCATCATCATATATAATCAATCAATCCATCCTATGAAGGCCCACCTTTTCCCTAAATATGCCTGCCTGCAAAAATTCACCTATCTATCCCACATTGCGTGGTAGATAGGAGGCCTGTGCTTTAGCCAATGAATCATCTCCCTGTTCATGGGGCCATTGTTTAATACCGCATCCAGCATGGGTGAGCCAACAAGTTTTGGCCAGTTCTTGAATGACCATATCCGATCCTTTGGCCATGCTCGCTGGGGTTGCTTCTCCTGCCAGCAACCAAACCAAGTAAAGGACAATTCAGTTTACCAGTTTTGATTTGCATTCAATTATCATGGGAAGAGAGTAGATTAGAGACAAACAAAGGTTACTGCTTGCAAATTGTACTCACCATTCTGGAAAGCATAAACTTCACCGTCCTTGGACCATAAACTCGTTGGCGTGATGGCTTCTGGACTTTGGCATAGAAGGAACCCACATCGGGCAGGGACAAGCAACCCCTACTTGCTTTGGCCAACATACAATCGGGTTCAGCATTTTGGCTATGCCAAAACATCAGCTGCCCCAGACAATATCTCTCACCGTAGGTCTTGCAATATTCATGAACACTTGAACCCAACTTCTCTGCATATTTTGGACCAAGGTCCAGTGGAGTAATGTAAACAGGTGGAGAAGTTATCCTCTTGTAATCCTGCAACAGAATGCAAATGAAATAAAATAAAGGTCTTTCTTAGCCCACCAACTGAAACAGCCACCCACCCAAGTAGGTTTTAAGTTAAGCACAGTAAGAATGAATACTCACTCGTATTCTGAAGAAACATTTTGTGTAAGCATACAAATGTATCAAATCAGCAGTAGCATCATGCCTACTTTTATATGTACATGCCAGGTTCCGCACCTCATCTCTCAACCTGAAATATTTCGTCTGATTAGATTCTATAACCGATTATTGTACGATGGGAGCACAAGCCAGCTCATTCTTATTACCATAGTAAAGATTTCCGAAGCTTTGCCTCTGTATCATCAGAGCCAGAAGGATCATGCAAGCAAATGTTGGCTTTTAGGTCCCTCAATACACCATCTTCCATATGAGGAGCCATACACTGGATAAGCTCCTCAACCAATGAACCCTCTCCTTTCCACAGATAAGAAACAGCTTCATTAGGGCTAAGCCTTTCAAGTGGTGGTGGAGCATTTTTTGGGTCGCCAAAAACACATCTCAATACATATTTAACCTGAATAAATATTTGCTAAATTAGAAATTTTCAGGGTCTATCTTTAGTTGTCCAATTTCAACGGTTCACATTCAATCTTATTCAGTCTTTTCAAGAATCCGACAACAGGGATAGGAAAGAGTGTGAGGGAAAGAGAACCACCCACCTTGTCAATAGTAAGAGCCAAATTCTGAAGTCTCTGATTGTAAACACCCTCAGCCTGAATTTCAGCATCACTCTTTTCAACCTCCAGGTGTATTTCAGCAAAGTATTTCTTCTTTTCCTCTATATTATGCCTAAGTATCTCATCGGGGAGTTTCGTCCTCTCAAAATTTATGAACCTCACCTAAATAGAAATCCAGACCTTAAAAATGAGCCTATAAACTTAAGGTTTCAAAAAAAAAGCTAAAGTGAAGAATACAAACCAAACGAGCTGAATAGGCAATTAGCCAATCAGGCAGCCCTCCAAGCAAACAACTCCCAAGTCCAGCTTTGCCCAGATCAATATAATCTTCTTCAGTTACTGAATTCAGTTCACAGGCCTCTAGCAGCAAAAGATGCCGATCAAGTAATCCATGATGCTCTTTAAGCACCTGATATAAAGAATGAAGTGTCAAGGAGCCAAATCCAAGGATGCATTCTTCCAAAACTTAAAACAAACATCCAAGGCAAATAAACAGCTTGACGAAAGTGGTTCAAATCCTATACCTTCTGGAAGGCCCCTTCACCGGTTAAATTTAGAAAACTTCCACGGCAAACTTGATTCCCACACAAACAAACAGAAGCTTCGTACTCTTCCTTGCTCTGGAGCCAATCAATAATATTACTAAATAAACAAATATTATCATAAATTTCACACAGGCTTTCCAAGCTACTAACCTCCGTAACAGAATTGTAGTCAAAAGTGATCTCTTCACCAAATGCAATAGGCCTTACAGCATAGATACCAATCTGGTATTGTCCATCAACAGCAGTGACCCTGATGCATAATAATAAATGGATAATGTTGCTATATGGAGATGGAAACACATCATAAAGGTCATTCTTACATTATGCAAGATATGAAATCAAGAGGAATGTCACCACCGAATGCCAATTAAATGTTATATTCCATGAGGTCAGCTATAGTGCTGTAACTAATGATGACAAAGAATAATAATAATTTTCTTGTTGCATGTGCAATAAACTCAGAAAAAATAGTTTATCAGAAACTCGAGCACTTTGTAGGAAGGCATGTTTTCACTTGGTGAAGCTTAAAAAAAAGAAGCTAAACAATGCAATGCTTACTTTGCTTCACAGTTAGGCCTACAGGAGTGGCAAATACGACTTGCATAGTTTGCCTTGTGCATTGCATCAACAACAACTAGATCATACCCATCAGCATCACCCTGGATTAAAACAATAATATAAGCCCCATCACATGTAGCATGAAGGTGACAAAGAAAGACAAATTTGACCATTTGGGCAACAAGGTGTTTCAAAGTAACCTCAGACAAACATGATTTGAGTACTGATCATCTCTGCAGCTTAACTGGTAATTGTCACTTGCTTAAGGTCTACTTGGGAATAATTAATTCATTGATATGCTGAACTTTAGGAGATTAGTTCATAAATTAATATACTGCCAGTTTTTCAGGACCCAGCAAAGCTTATCTGCCTCTCTATCAACTATAAAACATGAACCATAATAGCAATCAACTAAAGTCAAACATTTTATTTAATACATTCAGCATTTTGATTCCAAAGAGACTGTGAGAGACCTTATTGTTTAATATCATTGAGCATTGGTCTTTCTTCATCTAAGATATCTGTTATCTATTATCTTCAAAGGTTCTAATGCTCTTGCTAGCAATACAAAGGTGCCAAAAGAACCATTTTCAATCATAAATAATTAGCAAGTGTGGGAGAACACAAACAGAAGAGAATGTAATTACTTTGTACTCGTATGTGGGCATGACGCCCAGGAGTCAAAATTAACAGCACTAAACAGGTACATGTTGTTTTATTCACTAAATAATCAAAAGGCTAAATCATATCAATCTCTCTCAAGTCTCATGTAACATCTAATAATCAAAAGAATCAATCAACGATCATTCCCATGGGATCTTTGAATTGAGTTTCAATTTGGACAATCAAAATCAAGCTTTAGTACTGACATTTTATAGTACTGACATTTTATTTCTAAGCGACCGAATTACATGCACAAACATAAGATACCTTGGGCCTTTCAAGATAAATATTGTAGAACTCTGGAACTGGATCATTATTGTTCTTTTGCAAAGCCCTGATGCCATCTTGCTTCTCAAACCATTTCCAAGTAGGATACACCTATGATAAAAGGGTAAAAGTTCAACAATACTTTTATTGTATAGCTAGTAGAGCATCACATGTTGCAGCAGATAATTGCAATAAGGTCTACAAACCTGGTATTTCATAGCAAGTAAAAAGTTCATTTAAAATCATTGGCAGCATCAACAACAGCTACTAATTCATAGTCATGGTGAATAAGTAGCTAAGAATTATTAAATGCACGGAATTCACAGAGAATCTCTCATACAAACATTCATCAAAAGCCCTCAGACCCTCAGACAACCATGATGAGTTTGCATATACAGCCCAACCCCTGGAAGAAAATTCAGAGAAAAAAAAAAGAAAGAAAGAAAAGAAAAACAAACAAATAGGTGTGCAGGACATGAGGACATGCATTATAGAACAACCTCCCATCACATCACAGGAAGCAGAGTCCTTTAATTTGATAAATTAGTCCATATGTCTTGCAGACTAACACCTTATTGTGTGCTGGAAATGGAAAATTGGAAAAAGATACTCTCATTTATTAGTTATTCCATGACCATCGTTGGTGGTTATAAATCTTAATCACAACTAAAAATAAATTCAATTTTGAGAACCCCAAACAAATGCAGTTTAATTTCATAAAAATATTATATCAATAATAAACCTAAAGGGTGATACTAATATCCAGAGCTGATCATAAACATAAAAATAACGAGGCATTACCTCTCCCAGAAATTCAACAACAAAATCATCTTCACCGAAACCTCCTTCCTTGTTGCAAACAACTCCGAGCCCCTGATTAGAAGAAGCACATCACAGGGCATAAACTAACAAATTAATTCATGCATATGGTGTGTATGACAGTAAAAGTAACGAACAACATTACAAAAAGGACAAACTCGCTAGTGTGCAGTACTCAACAGCATAAGAAACTAGATATGTAAAAACACATCTATAAGATAAAATAATTACCTTTCTATAAGCAACATAATTGTCCACAGGACGACTATCAATGGCTCTTATTATAGACTGGCATAGCCCCATGGTTCTTTGATCATTATTTTCCTTTGCACTATTAAATATCTCTTCAAATACAGGCTTCAATGGATACATCATTGGTGTGTTTCCAGAACCAGTAAAATGTCTGACTTTCTTATTCAGAGTACGAAGCATAACTTCCTCAATGAATATATGTTTCTCAAGAAGTGACCACCCCGATTCCTCTGGCATTGAATCGAGAAGAAGATTGTGAGTATAAGGATCTATGCCATAAACCTCTTGTTCAATCACCTCATCTCCCAGGGACTTCCTGGGTTTATAATCCTTCACCTCCGGAATTTCCATATCAGATTCCTCAGTTCCATTTCTTTGGGCATTGAGCTTCTCATCATAATCCTCAGGTAATGAAACTAGCATTTTTCTTCGCACTTCTTCTTCATCTGTGACTATAACATAGTGATCAATAACTTCATACTTTCTAGTGACAGGTGGAACAAGGCTTGCTTTTGTCATTCGAGCACCCCATTCACGATCATCAGAAAAGGAATCAAATCCATCATCATGTATGAAGTAGGATTCTCCTCTCGACTCACTGCCAGCACCATCTGATGGAGACTCCAAATCACTTTCAGTATCAGAGGCAGTACTGGCACTGTCCCCCATGCTTGCACCAGAAGATTTCTCGAAATCATCGGATGTGTCACTTCCTGACTCCAAATACTTACTGTTTAATTTCGATAGTCGCCTTCTGATTTCCCGATCAGAAGCATAATCTCCAGAATGAAAAATTCCATTTATAAGTGACCCAGAGTGTTTCCTTTCAGATAATTTGTTCAGATTCTTCTTGTACTTGGAGGAAGCTGATGAAAAGCCTGGCGGAGATTCATCCTTCCAGGATTTCATCATCCCATCTCTAGAATAAGTTAACTTTGAACCTTTATCCAAACATGTAGCCAAATGGATGAACAATGCAACGATCCGATTCATGTCTCTTGCATCACCCCGATTCTTATGTCTGAAACCACAAGTAAAAACATAAAATAAGATGATTTCTCTGTTGATCCAAATAGAGCAACATCACTAAACTTCTGTTAAAGTATATAGATCTGTGCAACTATTTCCCTACATGCAACCACCATAATGCCCAGATTAAGTTCCAAACAATTCTATATTTGTGCCAGAAATGTTTTAAGTTTAAACAAAATCCAAGCCAACAAGCATTTAGGGTGTGTTTGGTACGAAGAAATGACCAGAGAAATGGATATGACATCATTTCTCTTGTTTGGTTGAGCCAGACAATGAGTGGCGAAATAAATCATTTCTTATTCTCTAATTTCATTTCTCTATCACGTGTAGAGAAATGCAGAAAACTGAATAGTAGTCGGTATATTTATTTTTATTTTTTCTTTTTTTTTATACTATTTATTTTTTTTATTTTTTTAAATTATATTATTTTAATTTTACAATATATCACATTTAATTTATTATCTAAGTATTTAATTTCTACATTTTTTAAAAAAATTACACTAAAATTTAATTTTACTCATCTAATTCATTGTTTAAACAAAAAAATTTACAATAAATATTTTTTAATAAATTCTCACTCATTAAAACTCTTTATTGTCCGGTTAATCATTTATTCTAGGTCAATCCATTCAGATAATTATATTTTTTTTACATTTCTCAATTGAATACTCTATTTTTACCAAACAAAAAAAAATTAATTCTCATTCTCTACTCATTTTTTCTGTCATTCTCTGTACCAAACGTCCTCTTAATATAATAATTGGCCACAGGAGAAGAAGGCAAGGAAACATAAAATGCATATGATTCAGCATAAATAATTGGAGTCGACCAAAAGGTTGAGACATGCACACACAAATATGTCGGAACCCCCACTGAAATAACCTATATGGACTAGAAAGCTCAGATTTAAAACAAAGACATACTTAATAGCTTCACGGCACATTCGACTGATATCCTCTTTCACAGTGTTCAAGCCACGTCTTGCGTAGTACCCATTTCTCATTCTTTCCTCAATCGCAGCAACCTAACCAACAAAGAGGATAATGATTATGTCAAATGTGCGCATCTGAAGGTAACTTTGAGATAAAGACATCGATATGTAAAATTATTATAAAATTGGTGTGAGCAATACCTTGGGCCCAAAGAACTCAAATGTGTTCTTGCTCATGATATCTTGTAGACCTTTAGCAATATATTCCTCCATTCTCTTATACCCACTTCCAATTTTTTTAATAGCTAAACGCCTCAGTTGAGCATCTCTGGATAGAATGGAAGAAGACTTTCGAGCATCAAAGAGCTTAGATCGTTTATACAAGCTCCTACGAAATAATTGATTTGCAGAGTCCCTCTTATCCGAACTCTCTAGATATTCTTTTAGCCCGCTGGAGTCTTCCGTCTGGTTAGAAGCTGATGAACCATCAACTAAGTGGTTCAGGCTCCGGATTTTTAAATGAGGTCCCCGAGATTGTACCCATTGAATATTAGGAAATTTCTGAACCAAATCTTCAAATTGGGTGCAACCTCTAACATCTATAGTCGACAAAAATGGAAATGACCGAAGAATCTCCTCAAGCATGCCAGACGTAATGCCAGTACAGCCACGCAATAGCAAGGAAGTAATCTTTTCTTCCTTGTAATCACCCTGCATATAATTCTACATGTCAGATCTAAACCACATACAAGCAATAAAAGCTTTATATTATGCAACTATGACTTTTATAGGCAACAATAATTGAAAGAAACAGAAAAGTAAGGAATAGCACAATACCATAACTTACCATTATTTTCAAGATTACAGAATCTGAGCACTTTGGAGCAAGAGCACAAAAGTTAATCTGTCTGGTAATATCTTTATAGAACTTCATAACAGATCGCCAGTGCTTGCAAGTCAAGCCAGCAAAAAAGAGTGACTTTAAATCTGCTCTAAGAAAGTGAAATACCCGTGCCAAAACATGCCCATCCAGCAGATCCCAGACACCCCCCACATCTTTTGGATCCACATCATCTAATCTTCTGAAGGTAGCATCACCACGCAAGTCATCAAATGCACACATTTCATTCTCAATAGTTTGCATATCTTCCTCCACATCATACTCCTCAATCTCAGTCAATCTAGCCCGTTTTCTGGGGTGCAAGTAATCTGCAATGATGATTGGGAAAAAGCACTCTCATAAGATGTAATTATAACAATGGAACTATGAGAAACTTTTTGTTTTTTCCCACTGAAACAAGTTATAGAACCTAAAATAGAAACGTATCAGAATAATAAAATAATAGAAATAAATGTAAAAAATGTTGATTTTCAATCAAACAGAATCAAAATTAATCAATGGAATCATAATGATCGGAATGACAGCATGCCTACAGGATATTCTAAATATTTTTTTATACAAATAAGAGTATTTAAATACTCTGATAATCCCCATCAACTTTAACCACCCCAAGGGAGGACAGCAGGTTGAGGCAAAACTCGCCATAGTGACAAGAGAAAGGATAGTTCAACTTGCAGTGATGCTATCAATCTTGCCTTCATAAACCCCACAATGTTGCATGACAGAGGTACGTAGCACAAGCTTCACATCACAAAAAAATAAGCACAGCTCACAGTGGATGTGCTCAAATTCGGCAAGTCTCCGCAAAGAAGGTGGGAAGGATAAGGTCATAAAAGCTGGTCTGGTTTTTTACTTTTTAAAATGAATATAAAGTAGAAAAACTTTTTACGAAAGATAAAACCTAAAATTGGGTGAAGATAAGGCACAAAAAGTGTTTTATATTATTATATAAAATACATGGAACTAATGGAGGTCGTGAGTCCTGGAAAATAAAACCTGACCATGATTGAAATAGTACGCAACCGGTAAAATAATAAATACAAAAACAAAAAAAAATGGGAGAAGGGGCTCTGTAATTGTAAGCCAAGCACTGCTGGAAAAAAGCAGTGTGACTGAAGATCTACAAAGACTTATACAACTGTGATTCGTGTGAAAGTGAGAGATTGCGCATTTTTTCCACCAATGTAATGAAAAAAATAGCCTATCTAAACTTTCATATTTGTTACAATGATTTAATAAGAAACAAATCAAATTACTTAATATACAATATAATGGAATCAAGATTAATCATTTACTGTAGCAACATATATAGGATATTCTAATGCTAATGAAATAATATCTAAATATTATAACAATAATGAACAGAATGAGTCCTTCAGAATATAAGAACTTTTTTTAAGTAATGGACCGGTGATTAAAGTCATAGCTGTCCATCACGGATAGTGGTAAACAGTGGTTGAGCCCTAAACGCTATGGCGGAATGATTGCTAGTTGAAAACTTAAAAATATTCATATAAAAATTAATATATATTCAAAATTACAACTAAAATACATAGAAAAATTTTTAAATTAATTTCATTATTATCATTCCAATTAATACGAAAAATGTATGCTAAACATAACGTCAAAATATATGGACAAAATATTAAATCATAAATAGTTATATAAGAATAATTGGGTCAGTTCTATTTGATAAATAGACAACCAAACTTAAAATCTAGTAAATAAGACTTTTCGTGGGCTTCTAACCTGGACTTTACTATTCCCTAATTTTTTTCTATCCAAAATATCAAATCAAACTCTTATTTTTGATTTGTTAAATTATACTGAAAATTAATTTTATATTCAAAATATCACGTACGTTTATTTATATTATATCGTATTATTCCAATTCAAAACTTTCCTATTTGAAACCCCAAACCCAACTCCAAAACCCACCAATAGACACACACTAAGTTTCTTTTCCTTTTTAGTCTCCCAACTGTTCCTCATTATAAATAATAGTTATATATCCACTCCAACCCATTCCGTACAGCCCCTCTACAACAAGTGGCTATTGCCACAAGAGCATAAGTGCACCACAATGGAGCAGCAGTACCAGCGGACAGCCGCTTCACTCCATGGCAGCACAATAGCATCACTATCACCTGCTATTGACCACTAGGTTTAAAGTAATTTGGAAACCCCAAGTTCAAAATACAAAAAGGAATCTCAGAATATCCAGGAACCAGGAAAAGCAAAGATCACATATTGTTCCAGCATATACATGCTATAAAGGTGTTGACAGGAAAAACAAGAACAAGAGCACATACAAGTAAATTACCTTATTTTCACACATCTCTTTAAGAAGTTCTATTCTTTTGAAGAATGGGTGGTGATGGGGGTGTGTGCAGGGGGCGGGGACATGTTCATTGAACTTTTACTGTTGTACAAGAATTCAATTACCTGAATGGTAGATGTGTTTTTCAATTTCTTTCTTTTGTTGTCTGGAATTGATCCAAGGATCCAGAACTTCATTTATGGCAGCAGCAAACTCCCGACTCTTGTAAGACTTCATCACCAATTCATGAAGCTTCCCCCGAGTATATCCAACAACCTGTGGGTGTAAATTGTGCAAAGTAGTGGAAGTTCTCTGGCTTTCTCTCAATCCACTACCACATGCTTCGGTTAAATTGTTATCATGCTCGGATATTCCACTACGGTCAGAGAGAACACTAAGCGGAACCCATATATTATCTTGTTTCCTGAAAACACTGGTGTTCTTTAGAATGATACCATGATCAGCCATTATTTGCAACTCTGAAAAGGATTGGGGCCCACGTTCATGGCCAGTACCATCAAGGAAATACCAATCTCCCAAATGCAATTTTAACTCATCTACTTTGCAAAGATGGTCCTTAGGTATATCAAGTGATGCATCCTTCTTCCTCAAATTCTGTGAATCCCGTTCATGAGCAATTTCCCGATTACCATCTCTTGAGGACCATCTTGTATCCCCAGTTGTAGAATACACCCGTACAGACCTTGAAGACAATCTTTCTTTTCCTCGAACTTTTGTACGAGCTTCAGACACGAATGAACCATGGTCCTTTACCACACATGCATTTATCCTAACCACTGATAGCATAGCTCCTCTAATTCCCCTTGCAAGACCAGATTTAGCTTGGGCTGCACGGCTCACACTAGAGGAATCATTTAACTCATCAGGAGACGTAAAAGCCCACAGTGGCAGGTCAAGCCTCCTGCTCTGCGAAGGAAAGTACAATTCGTCCTTTTCCTCCCACCTGGGGTCTTCACAACCAGACTTGGGCATCTGACACAGTGGATAGCCATCATTGAGAACCAGCTTCCTCTTCCAAGTCCTATCCTGAGTAGCATCATCATTCCTCTTCCAGTCACATCCCTTACAAGCCCATAGACTAGAATACATTTCACCAATCTCGCTACAAATGAGTGCATTATCCTTCTCAAGGGAGGCAGGCACTGTGGCCCTTTTTTCTGCAGTCTCAGTAAATTCAGAAACAGTGGACCATTCCTTAGCACCTGTATCTTCAAAATGCTTGTCCATGTTCTCCTCACACCTCATATGACCTGCTAAAACCTCAAAACAGTAAGCATCATATTTAAATGTAGCAAACTTAGTATACATATCTTAGCTGCAAAGACTGCACAATAGCCACAATAAACTCAAATTATAAGGAACACACCTAAGAAAACCTCAAAACAGTAAGCATCATATTTAAATGTAGCTAACTTAGTATACATATCTTAGCTGCAAAGACTGCACAATAGCCACAATAAACTCAAATTATAAGGAACACACCTAAGAAATTGATATGCTCTTCCATAAGAGAGATCACTAACTCAATATTAGTACAACAGTGCTGGCCAATAAGTTCAGATATGGTCAATGATGTTGAAGTTCTATACCAAAATCATCATAGAAAATAGGTTCCAATTTAACACAACCGGAAGGCATAACCAAATGACACTTTATGCAAATAATTCATTGATTGGCTGCAGAATGTTACATATCTGGGGTGTCCCACTACTCTCATCACTTCTCCATCTCAAGATTTTTCTGTTCTCCGTTCAATACTTCTGAGAAAATTTTAGTATGCCATATAAAATACCTATAGCTTGAACAGGTCAGAAACACACACTAAGACAAAATACCTCACTATATTTGCAAGATCCACACAATTAGCAATTCCTTCATCATATTTGCAGTGTAAATAACAAACAGACAGAAAACATGAACATTCAAAATGTTAGGGTCAGAAGAAGATTATCAAGCCAGACTTCATGAAAGGAGTTCCAATGATAGGAAGTAACACTTAATCTAGTTTACGTTGTTGTACAACTATTAAGCATTGTCCTTGTTAATGAGAAATAACAACTAGAATATGTCATGTAAATTAAGGTACCTCCAATTTTTCCCCATGGCTCCAATTCCCCTTGCTCAACTCTCAGTTGCAGCACCTCTGCAAGATAAGCATACAGAATAGCATAAATTAAATATATACAGAAAAGGAAAACTTTAAATAAATGAAAGAGGCAGTATTAGTATAATTCATGATTCAAATTCATTAAAACAGATAAAAACATGTTCATGTTATGGGGGTAGGAGTTCAGGAAGAGTGACTTCATAGTTACAACTTCAAACACACAGATGGATAAGTATTAAATGCATTTATGGTATATATCGTATATCATATAGAAAACACAACCACAAAGGCTTAACTATGTAATATGCATTTGTACAGATTGCCAGGTGGTGACAGTAAAATAGTAAAATAGTACACACTGCAGAAATCTATTGAGAAATATGAGGAAAGAGATAAGATCTGATGATTAGAAATAAAAAATTGTGAGCGTACCAGAAAGCATTTCAGCTTCACTGCCTGGAGTAAGTGTCACACCCTCTAAGAGTGCTCTAACTCGATCATCAATATGAAGATCTTCAGAATTGGAATCAGCTGAAGCATCATCAGAACAGGGTATGGGATGTAAAGAAGAGGCTTCCATTTCCTCATTACTAGATACATCGATTCTGCTATCTGCCAATATATTACCAGGAGCCTCAGGAAGGCATGCAAGTCCTAGAACTGAGTCGGGAAGAATTGAATGGAAGTTTGTATTTACTAATGGAGAAACTGCTTTTTCCACAGTTATCCATCTGTCACTATCCGAGTGTTTAATCAAGTGATCAGACACAAGATATCCCTCCTTGACAAGTGTCTTAAGATCTGACAATGTAGAAGGTCCGCGCTCGACACCAATGTGGTCCAGGTAATACCACTTACCAGCAACAGCATCTGCCCCCTGAGAAACATGTGGTGGTGTGTTGCAAATGTCCATGTCTTCTTCCATGGATGATGGCTCTTCAGCAACACCATTTCCCTGAGAAAATTCTGTACTTTTAGGTTGAGAAATATGTGATAACTCACCATGATGGCACAGGTTGGTAGAAGTTTTATCAGTCAAAATTTTATCATCCGTGCTTCCTCCATCTGACAATTCTTTGGCAGACAAGTGTGATTTCCTTCCCCGCGAATCCTTCAGATGATCCTGTTTTCCTTCTTGATCTTCACTCCCATAGTAATTTGTCTGCTTCTCAACAACTTCAACTTTTCGATTTGCTTCCCTGTGGTCACTGTTCAAATGATCACGTGGAGACCTGTCCAATAAAGTTGGGGTTCGATCCCTGCTACGAGGTGAGCGTTCCACATAACTAGGACTTCGGTGCCTACTGCTATTGTGACGTTTCCGCTCATAAGGAGACCTGCTTCGATCATATGGATGACCACGGTGGCGGGCTGGGCTGCTAGCCCGCTGATCATGGTTGCGGGCCCGGTTGCGCGGGGACCTATCAGAATGATGTGGACTGCCATTGTGCCTATCAAGTGCTGCCCTAGATGACTCCAGATATCTAGAAGACCTTTCTGAGGGAATGCTCCTAGATGAAGCAGAAGAAGGTTTGTACTGTCTCTCAGTGGACCTACCAGAATATTGATCCGCTGTGAAAACAGAACGAGAGGCATCATCAGAAGGCTTGCGGTTTTTGGAACTAGAGTGCTCCTCATAATCAACATGATACTTTCTATCACCACTTTCAGAATCAACACCGTGCTGCTTTATCCGGCTACTGAAGGAATAATCTCTTGCATGGCTCTTACTGCTGGAAAAATCGTTCTTTAAATAACCTTCTTCCCCAACAATTTTGGAGTTTATCTTTTGAGTTCTCTCAGATTCATATCTTGAAGAAGGCTTCCTGAGATTATGATTGCTCCCGGAACTTTTTCCAAGTTCTTTCCCGTTAGAATACTTACCTGCCGAAGGTGAAGTCTTTTCATGCTGAAGATCACCTTTAAACCCCTTCTCTCTACCAGAAGGTGGTGACCACTCACGGTCAGTTTTCCAGCCCTTTTCTCTTCGAGATGTTTGTGCCAATTCAGATTCACGGCTAGATCTCCACACCCTTTCCTTTGCATAAGGGGAAGTCCGTTCATGATCACTTCTCCGCCCCAGCCTTCCCTTAGCAGAGTCATACCTCCGTACCTTTGAGCTATCAAATTCAGTTGCCCTACTTGCCGGATCACTTCTGAACCACCTGTCAGGTAAAAACTCTCCTTTCTCCAGCTCATCTTTAGTTGATCTCCAATCGTTTACCTCTGATTCATTGCCAATCTTTCGCCACTTGTCCGGTATGAATTCACCCTTTTCAATTTCACTCTTGATTCCAAATCTTCTCAAGGGTTTGTCAGGAATAAACTCCCCATGCTCGACAGGCAGAGTCCCAAGCTCACCCTCCTCCACCTCTTCCTTGTCGTCATCATTACTAGGATCGCCATTACAATTCTTGTCCACAACTTCAGAATTCAAACTGCCAGAAGTCTTTGAGCTCAGTTCGCTACTCTCTTTTTTGGGCTTCATTTTTGGTTTTACTTTTGTTGAGTTGATGGTAGAATTTGAAGAGGAATTGAGCTTGGTGTTGCCATTCGTCTTGCTACAAATTGAAAACTTCTCCATAATATGCTGTGATGGCACGCATGCAACACCCCCATCGCCCATGGAATGCCCCAGAATGTACCGTTTACCTGGAAACACACACGCAAACAAACCCTAATCCTTTTTTTCTCCGGGGCTGTCTATGCTCATACTGCTTCTTCCACGTCGTGCAGATTCCCCAAAATCCTCCTCCTCCTCCTCCTCCTCCTCCTCTTTCCGCAAAACCCACCGGTAGAAAAACCACAATCAACCCCGATAAATCGAAAGAAAAGACCTGAATCGAGGAAAAAGGGCAAAGCCGCCGAAGAAACGGAACAGAATTGTTAATCACATAGACATACGCATAAAAAAAAGAAAACAATTGGAAGATTGAATGTATTTAGGGAAGATACCTGAATAGAATTAAGAAGAGAGAATTGAGGAAGGTTAGGGAAGAATCAGGTTGGGGCTAGGGTTTTGAATCCGGCGAGTTCCGCCGAGTGGAATCGCAGTGGGCGTGGATTGGAAGGAGGGAAGTGGAGTTGGGCCCCGGGGGGGAGTGGATTTTGAGAAATAGGGTCGCGCGGATGATGAAGAAGATGACGATGATGATTAGAATTGAAGAACGAGAGCGAGGATTGGACGGAACGGAGAGAGGAAGGGAGGGAAGACAGAGAGAGAGAGAGAACACACAGATCGATTTACGAGAGAGAATAGAAAGAAAAAGAATAGCTGAAGACGAATCCCTCCCTGTAAGTAATAAAATCGCTGGGTTTATTGTTTATTTATTAATTCGTAGTATATGCGCGAGTTTTTTGCTATTTTGATTTTTTAGTCTTTTTCTTTTTCCTCCTCCTTCAGTGTCGTCGTTGTTTCGTCAATCACCTTTACTGCTTGTTTATAGCTAATTACATAGGAAATGGTATTTGGAGTATTATTAATTTGTTTATAGCTAATTTATTTTTATTTTTTTTTGTATAATTATTATTATTACTTGGACTTCATGAAATGATGATGGTTTTTTTTTTTTTTTGTCAATTTGTTTTTTTGCAACAAATTCACTTGTGTGGGAGAATGAAAGAAAAAACAATGGATCCCTGGGCGGGCTCAACTAGTTAGTTAGTCAGGTTTTTTTATTAGTTTTAAAACTTGACTTGAGCAGGAGCAGGAGCAGGAACAGGAGCAGCTATGGGATGGGATGGAAGTGTGGGTGCAATGCGTTGCTTGCTGCTTGCTGCTTGCTCTGCTCAAAACAAATTATGAAACAAAACATGAATAATGAAATTTGTTTGCAAACGTGATACAAATAAATACTAGTACTATATAATACCGTACAATAGGGCTAAATCGATCTATCTGTATATCTCCAGTGCGTTTATAGAAATCATTAAGTAAGCAGATTTGTTATTCTTTCCTATGAGAAAACAACAATAATTAAAATTTAATAATAATATAATAATATTGATAAAGATAATAAATAAATGGGATTGATAAACCCAATGCGGCGGGCCCAACCCAGCCCACACGCAGAACTAAGGCTGAAATAAAACGGAACTAACCTTCAATGACGCTTTAAAAGGAAAATGAAGTATAATAGCAATACCCATCCTCCTCACTGTGGACAAGATGGGCCGGACCACGGCCCATCGGATGGCGCAACACAAACCAACGCCTGTATAGCCCCTGTCATAGTCTCGTCAAAATAAGTTGAATCTGTTGGCCTTGTCTTATTTCTTTAAGGAAGATTAGATTGTAATTTTTATCATTTCCCTTTATTTTATTTCCAAAGTATTTTTTTATTTTAAAAAAATAATCATACATTAATATTAAAATATTATTAATATTTATTTAAATTAAAAGCATATTATTGCGTACAAATTATTTTATATTTATACAAAAAGTTAAAGTGACAAAAATATCAAAATTTCTTACATACTTCCATCAATTAATCAAATATTATTATTTTTTAATCTATTACAAAACTTCATATTTTTTAATCTATTACAAAATTTCAAATGGTCCATTTGATTAAGGACGGAGATAATATTATTCTCTATCTCAATTAAAGTTACTCTCTTCATCCCTAATCAAATGAGCTATTTGAAGTTTTGTAATAGATTAAGAAATAATAGTATTTTATTATTTAACGAAAGTGTAAGAATTTTTGATATTTTTGTCCTTTTAACGTTATGTATTTTTTTTATTATATTCGCCTATTATTTTCCTAGTAAATGTAATGACATATTGACATAAAAATATTCTTCATTTTTACATAAATTACATATGTACAATACACATTCAATTATTTTATACATAAAGTACAAATGATTTCCTCTAATCAATAAAATATTATTATTCCAGTCTACTATAAAAAAAAAGGATATATATAGTTGAAATGGAGAAAATTTTATTTATATTATAATTATATCTTTAATATTATATTTTTTAAAAAAAATATATTTTATACTCTTTCCGTTCTAATTCAAAATATCAAAATTATCATTTCGTCGGTCTCACTTCAAACTATATATTTCATATTTGAGAAGAAGTAATCATACACTAATACCACAAAACTCTAACTTTAATTTAAATTACAATTACAACGTTACACATACAATTACTTTACAATGACAAATATATCAAAAACTCTTATATACTTCCACTTACAAATAAAATACTCTTAATCTACTATAAAACTTCAAATTGCTCTTTGATTTGGGACGGAGAGAGTATAAAATTAATTAATTAATCAAACCATTTCACATTAGTTTAAACCAATTCATCAATATTCTCTATTTTGTTGTTCTTTTTCCCTAATTCTCTCATCGATGCCACTCTCTTCTTTCTTTCGATTATTCGATTTTTTCTATCTTTCATATTTTATTATGTTTTATTTTTCCTATAATTTATTGACATATTTGTAAAATTAATTTTAATTTTTTTAAATACATGCTAGGATTAACTTATACAATTATTTTTTAAAATTATTTTTTGATATTAATTATGAAAATATTTATAATTTTAATATTTTTTTTTAAATTCTTAAAAAGACTTTAGGTTGACCCGCTTAACTCGCTACCTACTGACGGGTTGGGTTGAAATGACTAAATTTTACCCCGCCCTGCTGTGAATTGGTCGGTAAATAGTGTGCTATTTGCAAATTATAATGGATTAAAGGTCAATTCGTCTCGTCGATCCGTTTTGACAGTTATAACGATCGTCATTTGGAATTTAGGAGAAAACAGATAGGAACATAGACGCTTAAATACATACATACAAATATAAAGTGGTAAAAAGAAATTTAAGATTTTAGGAGATAATGTGATTCGATGTAATAATTAAAAAAACAAAATTTAAATATCATATGTACCCTCCACCCCCTAATCTATCCATTAGAATTCAACTAGAATAGCTAGAACGATTATTACTATGACACTACTTCTTTATTTTATTCTTTATATTGATTGGTCCAACAATAAAGAGGTAGAGTTCACTTGGGCCTTTGTGCAGATGAATAGACAAACATTAGGTTGTTTGCTTGTCTAATCCAATAAGTTTACATAATAATTAATATGCATAAGAATTACAAAATATATATTTATTGATGACAATATTGAGAGTAATTCTTTTTTATTAAATATATTATATCAAATATTTAATTTTTAATATTTCAAAAAACCTCACCTCAACATCTAAACATAGCCAAACATATTAAATTAAAGGAGAAATTTACTGATACATGTGTCAATTTGTGATGTCGGTTGTGCCCACTAAGCTTTGATTTAATTCATGTTGCAATTGTTAATTTTTAGGATCAAAATCATAGTTAAAAAAATAAGTTTAAAATGAACTAAATAAATCTTTATTAGAACCAAAATAAAAAAGCACAAGAAAAACTAACACACATGATTTGTGGCTCAGAAATTTGGGATAGGTCTTATTGATAAAGAGCAACTATGAATACAACAACGCGCGAAATGCGACAACAAATGGACACCCGCCGGAGACCTAATCTATCACCCAAATATGAAACACCACTCTCGAATGAAAACGAAACGAAACACAGAAATCAAATCGTAGAACACCTCACTAACACATCCCAAAGTACAAAGAACATAAGGCTTTTCGATTTCACAGTGGAAATTGCTGAAAACAAACTATCGAAACTCACAGTATGTAATAAAACACTCAGGTGAGAGAAAAGAGAGAGCAAAACGATTAGATGCAGTAGCGACGCAAGTATCATATGTGATACATTGTATGACTCGATATATATGAATGGTCTGATTGAAGACCTAAATCACCAGCTTGATTCAATTTGAGGAGACACGGGTCAGCCAAGCGGGTCGGACATTAGACCGAGTCATGCAAAATTGGTCAATTCGGTCAAGTCTTAACACTTCACCCATTCCTTTTTCTCTTCGTCCACTGACCCAAACTTCAGGTTCTTTTTCTCATATGCAGGGGTGGTGGCGAAGGTCCTGTAAAGCATCTGCAACTTAAGCGAGCTGCAGACCTCCGTTGCCTTCAACTTGTCCCTCATCTCCTGGGTGGGGTAGTGGTGTTCCCAACCCAGGAGTCGGTTAATCTTCCTGGCTGAGCAGTCTACCCATCGTCCTCGAATGTATACATTCTTTAGACTCTCAGCCTGGTTCAGATTACCATAAAACTCCCTCACCAGCGATACATCCACTGGATCACTGGGGTTTTTGATCAACCATGATAGGCCCTGCTCCTCCAGCCAGTCAGAGAGCGGGCCTGTGATCTTCTCGGGATCGAATCCTCTCTCGTAGAGGATCCCCATTGCCTTCATCCGCTCGTAGGCCGCTGTTGCATCAATGTTGACAAAGTGAAGTTTGTCAAACTGCTTGGACCTCAACACATCATTTGCAGCATCGGCAGCATTTTTTTTAGAGGTATCGCCTCTGAATGCCTTCATCTTCCTTAGCGGTGCCTCATGGCAGACAAGTTTGTCCTTCAGCTCCTTCAGCTGGTACTCCTTCAATTCCTCGTAGTCTAGCCACCAGTCGCTCACCGGATACCTCTGCTCTATTTCCTCAGTGTATTCAAATCTGAGGTAGTCCTTCGGGAACTCTGGGATGAATTTTCTGAAGGGAAGTGACTTCAGCTGCCTGAGCTTCCCCCAGTCCTCTGTGAGCTCTAACACTCTCCTCCTCATATAGTATGCCTCAGGCGGCACTGGCTCTACGAATTCAGCCCCTGAGGTTGTTGTAACCATCTTTCGTCCGTCCGTGGATTTGATCCTTTGGACTCTCTTTTCAATTCTTTCCTCAACCTTCTCGAACTTCTTATTCAACGTTTCTCGCTTGACTGGATCTAATTTGTTAAGCCTGTCCTGAACCTAGGGTTTCCAGAATTATTGTTTAATATACGAAATTTATGAATCCTGTCTTACTGCTTTAAAATGCTAACAACATTCAATGTATAGGCAATAATTTTCACAATTTTAGTGATTTTAACCCTAGCTCCTCCCCCTCACAATGAAACAGAGTACTACTATGAGTGTTACGTTGTGAAAAAGGGAGAAAATTACAGAACAATATAGAACATGCAGATTATTGCAAAATTGAACCATAGGAAGCAAGTATATAAGTTATTGTATCTAAATCTAGCAGATAATAGACCTAGATTCACATAAATCAAACATATAAATCATTTCGCAAAAATGAAGAACATACAGTTATCGCGAAAATAATTTGGGATTCTATGTTTTTGAACGTTAAATCAG